TATAAACCTTCCCCCTGCTCTCTATTAGCCCCTTTCTGTGTCACGCTATAAACCTTCCCCCTGCTCTCTCTATTAGCCCCTTTCTGTGTCACGCCATAAACCTTCCCCCTGCTCTCTCTATTAGCCCCTTTCTCTGTCAGGCTATAAACCTTCCCCCTGCTCTCTCTATTAGCCCCTTTCTGTGTCACACCATAAACCTTCCCCCTGGTCTCTCTATTGGCCCTTCTCTGTGTCACGCTATAAACCTTCCCTCTGCGCTGTTAGCCCCCCCCCGTGTGTGTGTCACACTATAAACTGTGCGTGTTTCCTCACTGTTAGTCCTTCCCCATGTATCACACTATAGACGTTACCTATGCTCTCTTCCAGGCTGTGTCTGAATTCTGTCTGCATCCTTCGAAGGTTGAATGGCATTATCAAATGGGACGGTCCAGCTTATGGATAATATCCTATATTTCCCATATATATTCCTGTAATGTTGCCGCCATAACCCTTAAATCATGAAGCACCTCCACTGTCACCTAGCTGGGACACCCCCGCTTTACCTCTGCACAGTGAATCTTAGGGTATGGATCCTTCACTGCTCTGCAAAAGGACGCATTTCTGGACAGCATTTGAAGGAGCCTTCGAAATGGGACAGCCTTGTCACACCGCATGATGCAGTTGGTCTTCGATCATAGCCTTAGAAGGATGCAGCCCCTGATTTCAGACACAGCCACCGATAGCTCCCAGCCATGTGTCACGCTATAAACCTTCCCCCCCTCTTTTGCTGAACCTCTTCCCCTCTCTCTCCAACAGGGGGAGCCGCGTCCCGCCACTGAACTGGTCCAGTCCCTCATCGGCACACACACCACGCTGGACGCCAAGATGGCTGAGAGCAAAGTGTCCCTCTTTAGTGACGGTGCGGCCCTGACCTCAGAGGAGATGCTGCAGGGGGGGTAAGTGTGGGGGACGGGTAGGGAGGTAACTAGGAGGAGTCGCAGGAGGACGCAGCTCATGTGTGCTTTCCCAACTGACAGGGAGATCCAGGGACCCACGGAGAGCCGGGTTTGGGACCCCGTGGCACAGAGGGAGAGGCGGAAGGCCGTGTTCAGCGACGGGGAGGAAGAGGGAGGCAGTGAGGAAGATGGGGAGGAGAGTGATGAAGATGAGGGGGGAAGGGAAAGTGAGGAGGAGGAGGAAACGGAGGAAGTACAAGAGGGGCAAAGTGGCCCTCCTGTGAAGAAGCAGCGGGTGGGGGGGACGGTGGAGCGAGGCCCCCTACAGGAGGTGCCTGCTTTCGCAGATAGTGAGGACGACCTCGAGATGAGTGAGGAGGAAGAGGAGGAGGAAGAGGGAAGGGAAAGAGCAGGAGGCGTAGCAGCCGACTCAGGTCACTGTTCAGAGGAAGACATGAGTGATGATGGCAGTGATGATGAAGAGGATTCTGGGAGTTCAGAAACTGAAGAGGCCAGCACCCCTAAGGGTACCACAGGAAAGATCGACAGGTCAAAGGTCAAGGCCCCAGAAGAATGCGCTGAGGATGATGAAGAGGACAGTTCTGGTGCTGAGGAAAAACCCGTCGCTCTAGTAGGTATAAGCAGCAGAATGAAGAAGTCAGTGGCGAAGGGGATGGATGCTGAGGATGATGGTGACGAAGATGATGACGAAGATGACGACGATGATGATGAAGATGACGATGATGACGAAGATGATGATGATGAAGACGATGATGATGATGATGATGATGAAGAAGAGTTCACTACTTTGAAAGGTGTCAGCAGTGAGGAGAAGCGTAAGATCACGGCGCCATTACAGGGAATGGAGGAGGAAGGTGAAGGTGAGGAAGAGCCCTGCTTCGAATCTGCAGGTAAGTCCCGTCCCGCCGGCCGCCTCTGAGCTGCCCTGTGCTGCCCTGTGCTGCCCTGCCCTGCCCTGTGCTGAGCTGCCCTGTGCTGAGCTGCCCTGTGCTGAGCTGCCCTGTGCTGAGCTGCCCTGCCCTGTGCTGAGCTGCCCTGCGCTGCCCTGTGCTGAGCTGCCCTGCCCTGTGCTGAGCTGCCCTGCGCTGCCCTGTGCTGAGCCTGTCACCAGCGACTCTGACGCCTCCCCAGGTGCCCTGAAGTGGAAGGAGGACCTGGCGCAGAAAGCCTCCGCCGTGTTTCTACGCCAACAGCAAGCAGCCCCCAATCTGCGCAAGCTGGTCTACGGCACTGGTGAGGGAGGCTGGGCGAGTGGGGGTCGCAGGGATTAAATATGTGGGGAGTGGATTAAATATGGAGAGCTCGGTGCTGCCCCCTGCTGGTCCTAATAGCTCTTTGTGTGCTTCTCAGTGGTTCAAGAGGAAGAGGAGGCTGACGAAGAGGAAGAGCTCGGAGGTCTGTTCCGGGTCAGCCGGCCAGAGAAAGGCAGGAAGCAGAGGATGGATGCGCTGGACTGCTCTCGCTTCACCCCCGACGGAGTGCGCGACTGGGACCGAGAGGAGGTGGGCGGGGCTGGGGACTCTGGGGGGGTGGGAAGCCAGTCGACTTTTGACCCCTGGAGGTGTTATTGCTCCCTGGGGAGTCTTTGGTTCCTCTTCTCCATTTTCTTCTGGCTGTCTTCCTTTTTGTCTTCCTCTTTTTCCTCTGCTTCATACACAGTTTGTATAAATGCTGCAGTAATGCATTGCCACACACACACTCCTGTGCCTTGTGAAATGTGTCACCAGCAGCCACAGCGAGCGCCCTGTCGCTGGGCGCCCTGTCGCTGGGCGCCCTGTCGCTGGGCGCCCTGTCGCTGGGCGCCCTCTCGCTGGGCGCCCTGTCGCTGGACGCCCTCTCGCTGGACGCCCTCTCGCTGGGCGCCCTCTCGCGGCTCCTGCCGACTCTCATGTCCCTGGCTGTCCTTGTCATGTCCGGCCCCTTCACCCGAAAAGAAGCTTGCGACATTATCAGCCAATCAGAGCTTAGCTAACAGGTTTCCAGGCTGACATCATGACATCACTGTGCTTTGGGTTTAGACCTAAGCTGGGTTGTGTTCACGCATCCGTCTCTCGGTAGGTGCTCGACTCCATCAGGGACTGCTTTGTGACGGGCCAATGGGAAGAGGACAAGGACGCTGCCACCCTCTTGAAGGAGGACGGTGAGCCCCCCCCCCCCCCGGTGCACATTAACCAACCAAGTCGGACTGCTTTATTTATTGTGTTCTGCTACTCACTTGCCGTTCCCACCCTCACGGTCTTCCCATTGGCTCCCTGAATTCTTGGTAACTCTCTCATTGGCTCCAATACTGCCGGCCTCTCATTGGCTCTGTCTTCTTTGCCTTTTTTACAGAGGAGTTGTATGGAGATTTTGAAGATCTGGAGACTGGAGAGGTGCACAAGGGGCATGCTGGACAGCAGGAGGACTGTAAGGAGGTATGTAACATGAGTCGGGGTCGGGCTTTCTCTGAGGTGTCCCATGTCACATGACCTGCACGGTGTGACTATCCCACACCATGACGCAGCGTGCTCTCTGATTGGCCAGAGATGAATGAGCAGTCTGTCACATGTCTTGGGTGAAAAGGAGGAAAGTGAAGAGGAGGATGATGAAGAAGAAGAGGAGGTGCTGGTGAAAGAAGATGAAGAGGAGAAACTGAAGAAGAAACGTGTGGAAAAGAAAAGGCGCCTTAAGGAGCGATTCGACTTGGAGTATGACGATGGAGACGCCACCTATTTCGATGACCTAAAGGAGGAGATGCAGAAGCAGGCAGAGGTCAGAGGTCAAAGGCTCATGCTCCCCTTTGTTCGATTTAGATGATTGGTGCACTAATGTGCTGCACTAAGCCGTGCGGAAACGTGAGCTTTTGTGTATTACTCCTGCAGCTGAACCGGGCTGAGTTCGAGGACATGGAGGACCAGATGCGGGTCCAGTACGAGGGCTTCCGGCCCGGCATGTACGTGCGTCTGGAGATCCCGGCCGTGCCCTGCGAGTTTGTCACCAACTTCGACCCTCACTATCCCATCATCCTGGGAGGCCTGGGTGCCAGTGAGGGCAATGTCGGCTACCTGCAGGTAGGGGGCAGCAGAGGCCAGGCCCTCTGCTTTATTGCACAAATGCGGTGAACCTTTCCTGACAGGTTGTTCATGAAGTGATTTCATATCTTTTTCAGCTTGTCCTAAAATGCCACTGTGCCATCTGTACTATGTTAGTCTGGTTTTTAAATACTGAATTGAAATGTGGTGTTTGGTTTCACTGTAAAATATCTGTAGTCTGACTCCCTCTGCATCGCACTTATTCATTGGCTCCCTCAGTCTGCAATGCCCTCTCTCATTGGCTCCCTCCCTCTGCAATGCCCTCTCTCATTGGCTGTTTTCCTCTCCTTCCAGATGAGGCTGAAGAAGCACCGCTGGCATCAGCGCATCTTGAAGACGCGGGACCCGCTGATCCTGTCACTGGGCTGGAGACGTTTCCAGAGTATTCCGCTGTACCACATCGAGGACCACAATGGGCGTCACCGGCTGCTCAAGTACACACCCCTGCACATGCACTGCAGTGCCACCATCTGGGGTATGTCCCCTCACACCCTGACTTATACTCATGCTGCAGTCTGTCTCCTCCTGTCCCTCCCCCGTCATGCCGAGTTTCGGCTCCCTAGTGCTCCTGTCCCTCCCCTGTCATGCCGAGTTTCGGCTCCCTAGTGCTCCTGTCCCTCCCCTGTCATGCCGAGTTTCGGCTCCCTAGTGCTCCTGCTCCTTCCTGAGGCTGTCTCCTCCTGTCCCTCCCCCATCATGCCGAGTTTCGGCTCCCTAGTGCTCCTCCTTCCTGAGGCTGTCTCCTCCTGTCCCTCCCCTGTCATGCCGAGTTTCGGCTCCCTAGTGCTCCTGCTCCTTCCTGAGACTGTCTCCTCCTGTCCCTCCCTTGTTGTTCTAGGTCCCATCACTCCCCAGGGCACTGGCTTCCTGGCAGTACAGTCTGTAACTGGAGTTCAGGTGAGATTCCTGTAACGAGGGTGGTCAGGAATCGGGTGAGGCTGTCGAGTGATGTGGGCGTGGTTGGGATTGGGGGAGTGGCCAGCGACATCATCAGCGTCACCTGAGTCTGCAGAACAGTGACAGCGTCCATATTGGGAGTTAATGAGTGGTGTGTGTGTGTCTCTGTCACACGCTCCCCTGTCTTAGGCTGGCTTCCGCATCGCTGCTACTGGTGTGGTTCTGGACTTGGACAAATCAGTGACCATTGTGAAGAAGCTGAAGTTGATTGGATACCCTTACAAGATCTACAAAAACACGGCCTTCGTCAAGGTACTGTCCGCTCAGGAGCCCTTCAGTGCAGTCTGGTGTCACTTAACACAGAAGATGCTGAAAGAGCCAGAACGTTAGGGGGCGTGTTCAGTCAGGAGCCTGCCTGACCAGCCCCCGTACTCCGCTTGTCTATTTCAGGGGATGTTCAACACGAACCTGGAGGTGGCCAAGTTTGAGGGCGCCTCCCTGCGGACAGTCAGCGGCATTCGGGGGCAGGTGAAGAAGGCGCTGCGTGAGAGTCCAGGCGCCTTCCGGGCCACCTTTGAGGACCGGCTGCTCATGAGCGGTGAGTGAGCCCCCCCGACCCCCACCCCCCCCTGCATGCCTCCCGCTGTGCAGTCAGGGTGCTGACGCATCTCCCTCCCCTCCAGACATCGTTTTCCTGCGCTCCTGGTTCCCTGTAACCGTGCCACAGCTCTACAACCCGGTGACGTCGCTGCTGCTGTCTCTGGGCAACAAGGACAGCTGGACGGGCATGAGGACACTGGGCCAGCTGAAGAGGGACCTGGGCGTCCGCAACCAGCCCGACAGGGACTCCCTGTACAAGGTCCGAACCTGCCGCCGGTGGTCATACGACGCCCCCCCCCCCCCCCCCGGGGGGCATACCGCCCCCCCCCCCCCCCCCGGTGGTCATGTAACCCCTGTGTCTTCTGCTCCCCTGCAGCCGGTGCTGAGGGCCCCCCGCCACTTCCACCCCCTGCACGTGCCGCCGCAGCTGCAGAAGGCGCTACCCTTCAAGAGCAAGCCCAAGCAGGAGCAGCGGAAGGGGGCCGTGCCCCGGGACCTGAGGAGGCCGGCCGTTATCAGGGAGCCCCACGAGCACAAGGTATTGGGGGGGTTGGGGGGCATGCGAATGTCTGCAGGTATTTCCTCGGCAGTAACAACTGCACTTGTCGCCCTGCTCTCGCCACGCGATCCTCATCAAAATGAAATTCTGGATAAATCCCAATATGATTCTGCAAATTTTGAACAGATGAAGCTGTAAAAAACATTTGACACGGCTGCTCAGCTGTGTCTCCCATAACCTGGCTGCATGTCCTGCGCCCCCCACCAGGTGGCAGCCTTGCTGACAGCTCTCAGCACGGTCCACAACTACAAGAGGAAGAGGGCCCACAGTCAGCAGCACGGCAAGCACAAAGAGTTCCTGAGGCAGAAGGAGCGTGAGGAGGAGGAGAAACTCAAGCGGCAAAAGGAGGCGCGCAAGAAGATGTACCGTATGATGGGCCAGCAGGAGCAGAAGAGGGAGAGATCCAGCCTGAAGGGGGCAGCGCAGGACAGCTAGTGCTGTTTGGATGCCTTGGGGACCTTCCGTCCGACGTCCTCTCTGTCAGACAGACATGGGGGCGGGGCGGGGGGGGGGCTGCCAGGCTGGATTACCATAGGGACAGTGTTTGAAGAGTGCCCTCCCCCTGACAGAGCGCTCTGTCTGTCTGCAGGAGCTCTTCATGTGTCATTATTTACAAAGTTTTTGTTGCCTACTGCTGGGTTATAAATGCTTGTTTTTACCTGCTGCTTTGGCTGTTGGCTGATGTGTCAGCTGAGGACAGCTGACTGTGAGTGAAGCGGCTCAGAGGAGTGTCCTGTGCCCTGGGGCTCAGCGGGAGCCGTATCAGAGCAGAACAGGCTGCCTTTATATAGCGTGCGAGCGTGTCAGCCCGGAAGCCCAGGTGTTCAGAATGAGTTTTAAGAAGCGAAATCACAGCCCTCCCAGTCACATGACCTGATCGTTTGCTCATTTCTGTGCATGATTTTTGTTTAACACTGTTGCTGAATGGTGTTGGCCGGTCAATTTCGACAGCAACAGGATGGCGTGATGAAAATGCCTCCTGACACCGAAGGGGGAAGCGGTGGGTCACAAGTCACGGACGTGTGCAAAGGATGACTGCTGGTGTAGACCGCAGGCTTTTATACCACAGTGACATACTCAGGGTATATATAATGTTTAACTGCATCTGCATTTTGTGAAATTGACAGCTGCCTAAGAATGGGTGTTTGGGTTTGTCGGCCTGAGCCAGTCGCCATTGGGTGACGTGCTCATTGACAGCCATGACCTGAAGGTAGGTTCAGAATTTCCAGCTGCAGAAGGGTGTCGCTGATCTGGTTCTGAGCCAGGGCTCAACCCGCTAAATGGGAGAGCGGCAACACAGCTGTCTAGAATTGTAATGTACTCTCTGGTAAATTAAATACGCAGTTAGTGAAATGGCAGCCCTCACAGTGTTGGTCCTACACAAAACGAAACTCGAAGCAGCTGTTTCCTCCCCTCTTTCCCGGAATGAGCGCCGCAGCTCTGCTGGAAGCCGAGTGATGATTACTAATGAATTTCGATTCAAATAACCGAAGTGTGGCTTTAACAACCAAACACTTGTGTCGCTGCACTCAAACAGGAAAGCGATTCGTATAATGGGTGGAATACGGCAATCGCCGGAGTGTGACGCCCGGCTCGCAGCCGGCTGTACCGTTACATGCTGCACATATGAGGGATTTAAAGCGTTTACTCTCGCAACGCAGCCTGTGCAGGGAGATGGAAGTGTGACAAACCGCAGGACCGAAACCAAAAAGCCTGCGTCAGTCGGTAGCTCTCGCTAAGTGTAGCCTACTTTTAGTACTTTCTTTACATAGATACGGGGGGGGTCAGTCCATTTTACGCCCGCCAGCGTTTGCCCGTCTAAGTGCGGGGGGCGCGCACAGAACTATATATGCATAAAAGGTAACAAAACAGATTTTTAAATTTTACTGAAAAGAGAGCGGATGGCACAAAGGTCTGAGAGAATTACACACCTTGACGGTTCTATTTGGGGTAAAACAAACGTGTCTACAGAGACGGGGTGGCGGGGTCCCAGGCACTGCACATGCTGATGAAGTGGGGCAGCTTGGCACTGTCCCTGTGCGACCGGCCGTAGGGCGCCGCCTCCGTCCAAACGCTCTTTGTTTGCTGCAGTGCTGCTTGGCCAAAGTTTGGTACAATGGTAAGGAAGGGAAAACAAAAAAACCTCCCATTCCATTCCCTAAAATGCGCCATTCGAGGCGCAGTAAGACCCTTAGGAGAAAAACAATTTCAATATTCAATTAGAGCTATTTCGGAAAGTGCTCGGTATCATGCCATATTTTAGTCACCTTATAAAATCATGGAAGACAAATAGAACAATGAAACCCTGAAAGAAAACCACATTGACAAAAAACAACCAGAAACTGACATTTTTTTCCATTAAAAAGCACATCTACTAGGCTACCTTGTAATAAATCTAACTGCAAAGTAACAAGCATATGTAAGCAGAACAACCCAGTACATTTCAGGAACGATTGCAATTTATCAATATGTGCAGCCTGAAAATTAAACCCGATTCAGCTTCATTCTGGTGGTATAAAAGGTCTCCACGTGGAAAATCAAGTATTGTCGTGTTTCTGGCTCGGACTCCTACCCCTAATGCAGGGTTTGTCCGCCCAGTCCTCGCGGACCACCAGCAGTTCACACTTTCGTTTATCCCAATTCCCTGGCCGTCTGGGCTCTGCTCGGACTAGGCTGGGCTGAGAAATACTGCAGCCTAATCAATGTCACATTTCACATTTTAAGGTGACCAAACCCAGTTACTGTTCCTTTCTCGCTGTCCTGTAGTGGAACATCCTGACAACACTGCAAAATGCACCGTAAACATTCAAACCAAGTTCAACAGTACTGACCCCCCGCCCCTTATACCGCCGCATGGGCATGCTGGAACCGTACGATGGCTTCGGAACAGGGCCCCCCAAGGCCCCCTGCCTCCCGAGGGCACCACACATGCCGGGGCGCAAGGTGCTTTCTAATCAGCAGGACAGACTAACAAAGAAAATAGAAATAAATCAGTTTAATGCCCTGTATTTACTACGCAAAACAAGAAATTAAATGTATGTGAAAGGCAGTCGGCAGCCGGTTCGGCTCAGATCTGCCGGACTATATGATCGGACTAAAGCCCTGATCACACTGGGGGCCCTGATTACACTGGGGAGGGAGGGGGAGTGTGACGTCAGGGGCCGGAAGTGTCGGAGACAGAAAGCTGCTCCACCTCCGCCAGAGTCGGGCGTGTTTTTAAAAAACTCACCGAGGGGGAGAAGGAAGAGTCGGAGACGGGAGGAAAAATACGGTGACGGGGAGCTCCGTGGTGCGATCGGCAGGTATGCGGGGCGCACCGGACCGGAACCGGACCGGGGAGGATTTCATATGCTTCTCCAGATTATATAAATGGACTTTTAGTCGTGAGGAGACTAAAACGAGAGGCTTCCGGCCACGGAGCTCAGCCGTGCAGATCGTGCATTTTGGTGCATGTCCGGATTGAAGTTTGTGCTCCTTCCATAAACACGCCATATAGCTGCGAATGAGAGGTGACACTGAAGCTGAAGCTGGCTGATGGCGATTGTCTGGCTTTTAGCGGATGTGAGCCTTTGTTTTCTGATTGCTGATTGTTCTTAAGATGACTTTATGGAATTTGCATGGCTTGACTTGCTCACCTCTTGCGTTTTCCCTACATTTATTGGTTTATTTCATTAGGTGCTCTTAAATAAGCTCGTTTTCATCTTCAGCTGGTTTTATTTGAAGTTTCGTAACACATTATTGTGTAAACCAGGAAATGTATAATAGAGGGAGACGAGTTGTTTACCTTTCAGTAGACCTTCTTTTCTGGACAAATTCAAAACTCTAAAAAACTTTTGTCTGGTTAACATTTTAACTTGGTTATGTTTAATGGGCGTGATGTCTCCAGTCCGCTTTCTGTTTGGCGGATTTTCTTACGTATAGGCGTGGTTGTGTCTGCAATGGCCCCAAGACACACGAAACCCCACCTGGTTATGTTCTTACCGCTAGTGTTGGTCCATTTACTGCATATTATATTTGAACAATCTTTATGTAAATCCGCCATGGTCTGTCTAGCTGAGATGCAGGCTGACATGTTGCTCAGTTGGGGCCCTTAAGCCTCCTGTCCTGTTCGGGTGCTGAATCAACCCCCTGATCTGTGTCCTTGAATCAGTCTAATTTTTGTACTTCAGCCCTTCAGTACCAGTCACTGGTGGTTCGGGGAGTGACTGACTGCGGCTGGAATTCGTAAACTTCCAGAAAGGGCTGGTCCTGCGCAAGAGTCGCAGCTTCTACGGCTTTTCCAAAAAAAATGTCTTTTTCTTTTCAAAGTGAGAACGAGCTTGGCAGCCGCCCACAAAGGTGCCCATGGAGCTGGGGGTTAATGGGCTGAAGGGGCTCATTCAAGGGCCCATGGACATTCGACTGTCCTGCCAAGGCTGGGCTCGAACCAGCAACTTTCCGATCACAGGCACGGAGGTTTAGCTGGCTGAGCTACAGCTGATTTGTTGATCTCTCTCTCTCTCTCTCTTTTTCTTCCTCTCTTTCAGTGGCACCATGCATTACTACCGCTACAAGGCAGCTGAGGTCAGCTGCTTCTACAAGTACTTGATGTTTAGCTACAATGTGGTCTTCTGGGTGAGTATCAGGCCTGTCTGCCCCCCCCCACCCGGGGCCTGGGTGCGGTGCAATGCGCTCCCTTCTGTCCCGAGCCCCCCCCACCCCACCCCCCAGTTCTCAGGGCTGCTGCTCCCCTGTGGGTGTTTGTCTGCAGGCTGCTCTTATCAGACTGCCACAGCTCCACCAGCGGAATGCGTGTTTCCTGTTTTGAGTACAGCCCCCCCCCCCCCCGCCTCACACTCCCATCTTCTCTCTCCCCACAGTTGGCTGGGGTGGCGTTCATCGCTATCGGCATTTGGGCTTGGAGCGAGAAGGTAAGTCTTTATTGTATCTGTGGCTTTGCTGCCCCCTAGTGGCCGACGTGGGATTGGCTGGGCTGGGCTTTATGGAATGTTCTTGGCTGTGTGGAGCATCGCAGAGACTTGATCCCGTCTAATTCTCTGCAATGTCTCCTTCGGGGGCTCCTGCCTTTATTCTTCCTCATGCTTCCGTGACTGAAGCATTCCCCGTTGCCGTCACAGTGCACACTGCCTGAGTGCCGACGTGCATCCGTGTTTTACGGCTGTCTGTACGCCTCCTGCCTTGTTTGGGAAGCTGCCTCTTTCTGTTTGTGCTTGTTGACCAGCTCTCCACACACGCCTCAGTGCTGTTTGCTGGTTAAGATGCAGCACTAGAAGCACCTTCCCTAATGATGCAGTGTGAAACGCGCTTCATTTGTTTTCCTCCAGGGGGTGCTGCTGGACCTAACCCAGGTCACCCGAATGCATGGCTTTGACCCTGTGTGGCTGGTGCTTCTAGTGGGTGGGGTCACCTTCATCCTGGGCTTCGCTGGCTGCGTCGGGGCCTTGAGGGAGAACATCTGCCTACTCAAGTTTGTGAGTGTGACTCTCCTGCCTGCGCCCCCTAGTGTGTGGGACCCAGTGTTGCACCGCTGAGCATTTCAGCCTCACGCGCCCACTGCCATATACACTGCGTGAGCAGTGCCCACGTTCTCGGCTTCTTGGGTGCTGAGCTGTTGCGTTTAAGGCTAATTATGGCTTGTGAACATGAGACGGCTCTGCACGCTGGTGAAGTTGCCGATCAGAAATGCGTCGTGCATTATTCATGTAAATGCACCCAGCAGATCACTGGCTCCTTTGTGTACAGATAAGTGCTCAGTTTAATTAAACATAATCAGACTTTATATTAATTCTTTATCTCGAGCAATTAGACGTAACCGAATTACATTTGTCATTATTCACCCCCCTCCCACTTTTAAGATTAATACTATGAGTTAGTGATGGTCAGAATGGGCAGGCGGCTCATTAGGCGCTGATTAATGGTGAGATCCAGCACATGACCTCCACATACGGGGCCTGTTCCCGGGGCGCCTCCTAACCCAGGCTCCGCCTCCTCCCTCAGTTCTCCTCCTTGATCGGCTTCATCTTCTTCCTGGAGCTGACGGCGGCCGTCCTGGCCTTCGTCTTCCAGGATACCCTGAGGGAGTGGATCAGAGATCTGTTTCTGACCAACATCAAGGCGTACCGGGATGACATCGACCTGCAGAACCTCATCGACTCGCTGCAGAAGCTGGTGGGGTGGGGTGGGGGGACTAGCTCATTCCCCTGAACTGTGCCGTATATTCAGCTCATTACTGTTTTTCATGGTACTGGGAAGTTAACAAGCGACTCTGTGTACGAGTCTGACTCCCGGCACGCCTTGTCCTCCCAGAACCACTGCTGCGGCGCCTCAGGTCCTGACGACTGGAATGAGAACCTGTACTTCAACTGCGCCAAAGACAACCCCAGCAGGGAGCGCTGTGGAGTGCCCTTCTCCTGCTGCGTGCACGACCCAGCTGTTAGTACCCGTCCGTGTGTGTCTGCGTGCTCGCATGCATGTGCCTCTCTGTGTGCGTGCACCTGTGTGCCCCTCTCTGTGTGCCCCTCTCTGTGTGCCCCTCTCTGTGTGCCCCTCTCTGTGTGCCCCTCTCTGTGTGCCCCTCTCTGTGTGCCCCTCTCTGTGTGCCCCTCTCTGTGTGCCCCTCTCTGTGCGCGTGCGCCCCTCTCTGTGCGCGTGCGCCCCTTTTTGTTTGTGTGGCTGTTTGTGCACATACTTTTGTGTGTCCCCATCTGTGTGCGTGTCCTCATCCGTGTCTCCATCCATGTGCGTGTCCCCGGCTGTGTGCACGTGTCCCCGTCCGTGTCCCCGTCCGTGTCCCCATCCGTGTGCGTGTCCGTGTCCGTGTGCTTGTGTAACACCCTGATATCTCTCTCCTTTCTTTTTTCCCCAGAATCCCGTTGTAAACACACAGTGTGGCTATGGTATCAGAGACTTCAAAGTGAGGCCCGTTTCCTGCCTGGGGGTTGGGGTTGGGGTTGGGGGTGGGGGGGGGGCGGCATGGTAGTCCAGGTGTCCTGATCTTAACCCCCCTTTCTCCCCCCCCGTGTCAGATGAACCGCAGTCAGTTCATCAATGACAGAGGCTGTGTAGCCGCCATGGAAGCCTGGCTCCCGCGCAACATCTACATCATCGCTGGAGTCTTCATTGGCATTTCCCTGCTGCAGGTACAGCCATGGGGGCTTCAGTGCAGTTGGGGAGTGCCCCCCCCCCCCAGCTCAGAAGGTGACCCCCTGACCTCTCTCTGCAGATGGTGGGCATCTACCTGTCTCGGACGCTGATTGTCGACATCGAAAGAGTCAAGTTCAACATGTGAGGTGGGCGGGGCCTCTGCTGTGGCCCCTCCCCCTCCAGTAACCAATGGTGGCTCCCTCTGGAGGAATGACGCAGCAGAGCCACGTGTTACTTTGACCTCCTTGCCAAATGGACTTCGCCCTACGTGTGTGTGTGTGTGTCCTTCACTCTGTTTCGTGTGACGTTCCTGCTCTCACACCTGCCTGCTGAGGCCCCCAGGTGACCCCCCTCTTCCTTCATTTGACCCCGACCTCGGGGATTTGGAGGATGGCCTTGTCAGAAGGAGCTTCCCCCTGCCAGCTTCCCGCTGGAGATGCGGCGTCCTTTGGCTTCTTGGCCGCGGGACTCCCTCCCAGTGAGAGCGCCATCTGTCTGTACCAGGGCATCTCAGTGACATCACCTTTGTGGCATCGCCCCCCCATGGCTGGCTGTGGGTTATAGGAGCCTGTTCTGTCCTGGGATTGGGGCCAGCTCGGGGGGAGGGGAGGGGAGGGGGGGGGTCACACCGCTTGGATGGCCTGCTTGTTCTGCTTCTACGATCCCTTGGAAAACTGGCCAGATCTTTAGATGTACAAGCAGGATAGTCATTCTTGGAACAGCCCTTATGAGAAATGTTGCAGGGAGGCCCTTCCCTGCTCCCTGCGTTTGGCCTGTTACTAACCTGCAGCTTAGAGCCAGTGCTGATGTCATGCCTTGCCGATGGGAGTCCCCTGGTGGCAGCATCTGCACTGCAGGTCCAGGGCAGCTGGAGCATAAGAGCAGCTCTGACCTCCTAACGCACGCAGGCGAACAGACGCAAAGTGCCTAATCCTTCCCGCACTAGGAGAATGTTCCGTGAGTAGGGCAGCAAACCCTTGCTGTCTGGGTAGACATTTTATGAAAACCTTTGTATTTATCTTCCTTCCCTGTTTTGCTACTGAAAACTGCACAATTTTTACATTTTTATGTGGATTTAAGCTTTGGAGGGATATTTGTACAGCCGTTTTGGTGAATAAAATGCTCTCTGTCTTTCCATGTGCCTGTGTGCTCTCTGTTCAGTTGCTTTCGCTCTTGCAGAGATCCCGGCCCGGGGGCTTGTGAGAACGACAGCAAAGGTGCTTTTTCCCTCTTTCATCCGGTTTGGCTGCCCTCTTCCTGTTTCCATTTCCCCTTCCTGCCTGCTTGTTTCGCCTTCCTCTTGGGGGGTCTGTTTCCATCCTTCCTGGGAAGCAGGGACAGCCGTGACCTTTTGGTGAGTTGGTGACTGTGGAAACTCTCTGGCCCCTTGGAGAGATGGGGGACTGGTAAACACAGGTGATCACTTTCTACAAATGGATCCTCACTGGAATCTCTGGTAACCAGTGGTACGATCCACTCCCACGAAAATATCCTCATGAGAAGATGTGGGTGGGGGAGGGGAGGCGAGAGGAGTGGGGGGGAGCGGGGAGGTCCGTCCTGGTCCTGTGAGACGCCCTCTCAGCCGGCTCCGTACCCATTATTCACCGGAGGTCGCGGTCGCGTTCCACTCGAGCGGCGGTAAGCTGACACCCGTGAAAAAGAGCGTCTGGCTTTCTGTGGTGCTGCCCATGGTCTCCCACAGGGGGGCGGCGCTGAGTTATCGATGCACAGCCATGGGCTGGTAATGAAGACGGTCGCTGCTGTGGCAGGGTGCCCACATGCCTCTCCCCTTACAGCCGGGTAGGCTGGGGGTGCAGCTTGGCGTGCAGGCGGGTGGGCAGGCAAGATTCAAAGAGGTCATCCCTCCAAACAGAGCAGGGTACCTTTAGGTGATGCATTTGACCAATGAGGTGTGCTGGGAGAAATTAAGCGTGGCTTTTTGTTTAACCATGTTAGCGGAGCGTAGATGCAGTTCACATCGCTTTCGCTGTTGCCTGCAGTGCCACCAAATGGTGGGATGACTCTCTTACATCCCTAAAAATGTGAATAAAACCACACACCTTTAGCAAAGACAAGTCATTTAATTTTTGCAGAACTGAAATCTACACATCTGCACTACAATGGTGCCATTCCCATTGTGGGGTGTGCTTGTGTGATGGAGCCACAGACCGCAGGACGGCATGAGCGTGAAAACACACACAGACACGCAGGCAGACACGCATGCACGTGCGGCTGGGACGCTGTATGAGACGGCCGCGAGCCCACCGCCCTGATCAGTACCGCTGACGGCTGTGGCGGAGACCGCGTGCTCCCTCGCCAAACTCATGCATATTCATGAGGGGTCTCTCTGTGCCTATGAATATTCATATCAGGCCTGGGGCATGTTTTAATTCACAGTGACGGATGGGTACAGGGCTTCTGCTCTGAATATGAACTGAGCTGCCTCAGCTCTCTGATAAATATTCATGATAGCCTGCCACCTGGCTGAGCCACGGTGGGCCCCGGCATCAGTGGGCGGGGGAAGGGTGAGGGGGCGGGGGTTAAGGGAGGGGGAAGATGAAGGTGGAGAGAAAGATGAGGGGGCGT